CCAGCCGTTCCTCCTCGGAGCCCCCCTCTCCCCCAAAACTTCACTTGAAGTGGGAGAGGGTGGACGCCAGTTCACCAGTGCGTAAGGACCCCGACTGTTCCTAAGGCCTGTTTCTTGTCGCGTTGGGAATTGGCTCCATTGTCCGGCTTTCGTCTTTTTTAGACAGACATTGTAGGTTTTCATCTACGTTTTTAAGTGGTGCGCAGAACAGTGCATAGGACGTAACATGTTTGAGGAGTGTTAATAAAATGAATTGCCAGGTTCTCAAGAGTTCCTCCGCCCGCACCATCTCTGCCTGGTTTTTGTGACAGGCACTTTATTGCTTTCCCCTTTATTTTTACCAAATGAGTATGCATGTAGTGTAGTCTTCCTTTGTCTGAGATTGAACTTTTATGAATGGACCCTTGTGGGTTTTGGCTTTTAATTAATAATATTACATTATTTGCAAATTCCCATGGTTGTCTAGCATTCCATTGTGTGAATACAACCTTATATCCATTCTACTTTTGATGTGCACTTTGTTCCAGTTTAGGGCGTCTCAGAAACAATGCTATAATAAACATTCTTCTACCTGGACCTTAATGCAAAGCTTTTGGCGTTTTCAAGACACCAAGATACAAGATACATGCTTTGGAGTCGTAGGACACCAAGATACAAGATACATGCTTTGGAGTCGTAGGAGAATTGTGGATTCAAAAGGTATGCTTGACTACCAGGTCATGTACATTTTGATTTGGAGTGCTTCAAAACTTAGCTTCCCAGGACACACTTCGCTTTGCTTTGCAGTTCCTGGAGCCTTCCCCATGCCCCATTAGAAGTTGGTTTTTCTCGAGGAGTGCTTAAAACTTCCAAACAACGTTGAATTTTTTAAATGATACTTTTATCGACTATTGCTTGAGGATCACATGGAATCGATCATTTTATAGATGGGAAAAATCTTGGGCTGAGGATGTAGTTAGTTTGTTACACTAGCAAACATCAGGGCTGTAGTTCAGTCGTTGGTACCAACAATAAACAAATCATAAATCTTAGCTGAAGTCTTCTCAAAGGTTTTCCTTGTAAGCTTCTTCCTACAGAAGCAGAAATACCTATAGGAATTCCAACTTTGAGTCTCCTCTGCTTATGGCTCTATCTGGGTGCCCCGGATCTTTTGTCAGACTAGAGTTCCCACATTCCATACTAAACTGTTTCTGTAGAACCTGTGTCACCTCTCTGATTACATCTTGTTGGGTAAGTAAATAGTCAGTGTATGTTACATTGACTTGGAACTTGTCTTTGCTTTGGAGACCGCAGGTGTTAGCCTTGAGGAAGGGACTATGGTATCTATAAAGTAACCGCAGGCGTTAGCCTTGCTGAAGGGACTGTGGTTAAGCTATACAGTAACCACCTTTACTCTAGCTGCTCAAGCTGTCAAGGCTTTGATAAGATTGATTTAGAGTATGTCTTTTCAAGTCTTTGTGTCCAAGGTGTTTTTATGCCTCATATATCGTTCCTACTTTATTATGTGCTTCTAATTACTTTTCAGGACAGGAATTGCATTAAAAGTTCCTTGAAAGTAATTACAGAAGACACGTGACCATCAAGTTGCTACATGAACCTGGGGGGTGGGGAATAACCAAACAATGTTAGGAAAAGACCCAAAATAGGTGTGTTGGTACTTTTTTGAGCTGTCCTTGTAGGCCTTACTCGGGTGGAGGCTAGTTCTCAACTATAGCAGTCTGAACTCAGGAAGGTGGTGTCATTCCATATGACAAATTTTGGATTTGATGGTGAGCACACATGTCAGAAACAGATGAACATGTTTGTGACTTTCCACAGTTAGACTGTGGAATCACAATAAATACACAAGGTTCAGTGACATCAGTTTGTCATACAATCCCACCTACCTTGATAATCTGGCTGAGGCAAAAGTGGGTTGTTTTATTCCAGTCTTAATTAGTAATAATTACTCTCAAATCACATATCACAAGGCACAAGTAACTATATGGTTTACAGTTAAAGAGGCTGCATCAGAGTTCAAAAAATTTCAAAAAATGGCTGAGAAAAACTGCACTGAACAGGCTGGGCAGCCAAGCTGAAACCCCAGGGACAATTAGGGAGTCCTGTGCTTCTTTGTCTTTGATGCTCACATCAATATCAGACCATAGGTAGTTGTAGGGCTATGTCATCCCAGTGTTAGGTATTGGATTGGCTTGTTTTTGTGTATCAACTTGACACAAGCTAGAGTCATCAGGGGAAGGAGCCTCAGCTGAGGGAATGCCTACTTGAGATCCAGCTATAAGGCATGTTCTTTAGTGATCAGTAGGGGAGGGCCCAGCCTTGGTAGGTGGTGCCATCCCTGGGCTGTTAGTTCTGGGTTCTGTAAGAAGGTGGGTTGAGCAAGCCATTGGGAGCAAGCCAGTAAGCAGCACTCCTCCATGGCCTCTGCATCAGCTCCTGCCTCCAGGATCCTTCCCTGTTTGAATTCCTGTCCTGACTTCCTTCAGTGATGAACAGAATGTTGAAATATAAGCCAAATAAACCCTTTCTTCCCCAAATTGCTTTTGGGTCATGGTGTTTTGTCTCATCAATAGAAACCCTAAGACAGTTGTCTATTTATTGGGTCCAGGTGAGAGGTACACTCTCCGTAGTCTATCATGTTGGATAAGTTCTTGTTCCTGGTTCCCAATATGATTTTAATAGGCCCTTGTGCCCTTACACTTTAAATTTATTCCAATATACTAATAGTATGTCTCCATCCTTTCTACTTCCAGGAATAAGTCATTTATTAGTCTGTGGTGGGTGGGTGGTACTTGTCAGATGGTTTATGGGTCCACCCAATGGCTTCAGTTATACAGTTTTCTCAAAATGGACTACTTAAATTATAGCATAGGAAAAATGTGAATAATGATAATAACTGTAATGCCTCAACTGATGTGCTTCGCTTGTGAGGCACTGCTTTCTCTCTCTCTCTCTCTCTCTCTCTCTCTCTCTCTCTCGCTCTCACTCTCTCACACACACACACACACACACACACACACACACACACACACACACACATATATTTTTAAACAGGGTTTCTCTATATATTCTTGTCCTGGCACTCACTATTTAGACCAGACTGGCCCCTAAATCACAGAGTACTACTTGTCTCTACCTCCTGAGTGCTGGGATTAAAGGCGTGTGCCACCACACCTAACCTAAAATACATGATTTTTGAGATAGGTCTCATGTAGCCAAAGCTGCCCTCCAACTTCCTATGAAGCTAAGGATAACCTTGAACTTCTGAAGCTCTTGACTGTTCCTCCCCAGTGTGTTTATACAGTGTTAGTATTGGAACCCAGAGGTTTATGCATGCAGAACAACCATTCTACCAACTAAACTGCAATCCCAGTCTTCAGGACTTGAATCACAGCCACAGCTTGTCTAATTTAAAAAGAGAATACCTAGAAAAACTCTTAACTGTCTACCTGACACATTCTTAGATTATTTCAAATGCCCTCCTCCTCTAGCTTCAGCCAGAAGTTCATTTGGCTGTTTTTAAATGAAAATATTAAAAGTAGAGCGCACATCTTCCCTCTGTCTCCCCAACCCCCACCTTATAGCTTCACAGTGGGAATTTGAAACCTGTCCTTAAAAAGTTTCTGGTATATGTGGTATCAGGCTGGTACACTGTGTAAAGTTGATGAAGCCTACCCTTGATGCATTTCTTTGCTTAGGTTTCTTCCCCAAGAGGTAATTTACTGGCAGCTAATTTGGATCCATTTTCAAGGATGTGGGTTTTTCCACACTTAATATTTTCTTTTTAAGAGAGATTCACCAGATTAATGATTTTGGATAAAACTTTTTTTGAGACAGGGGTTTATGTATCCTAAGCTAATATCAGTCGTGTCTTGCTATGTTATCAAATAGGACTTTGAACTTTTTGATCTTCCCACCTCTGTGCTGGGGATCCTCCCCAGGTGCTGGGATTTCAGGTGAGAGTCAGTTTTTTTTAAGGTAGGCATTGAAACTGGTTTTATGAGTGCTAGGCAAGCACTCCATCCTCAGCCCTGGGTAAAACTTTTCAGTGCAATATTTTATATAAATGCAGAATTTTATTTATACTATTACATATCTAATTGAATATTTCCATTGTTTCCCTTTAGTTGTCATATAAGGCTTTGAGCATTACAGTTTTGTTCACTGGGGTGTCAGGAGAATTACCTGTGATTGACCTACAGTATAGGTGGGTTGTCTCCCATCTTATTTGTGTTGGGTGCTATCATTTTTCTCTACAATGGGAAGGAGTCTGATGTAAACTGGTCAGTTCCTTTCCTAACTTATGTGTGTGGAGCATGTGCTGGGTAATGCAGTACTGTAGAGGACCATGTTTGCTCTCCATGTGCTATGACAGAGGGATAAGGTCTACATGAAGACTTTAGTTGATATGCAGGAGTTAGAAGGAGCAACTGGGATAGGAGAATATCATTTCCTTTAAGGAACTAAGCCTGAACAGAGAAAGTGTTTTAATTTAATTTTAGTTTTGTTTCCATTTTTTTTTCTACCTTTGAGACTGAGGCTTTACCTTGTGGCCCAGGCTGTCCTGGAACTCATCATATAATCCAAACCGACTTTGAACTTGCAGTGATCCTCCAGCCTCTGTCTATTACACTCCATTTTATAAAGTCCTGGAGATCAAACCCAGAACTTTATGAATGGTAGTCGTGTATTTTACCAACTGAACTGCTTCTTCAACCCTCCAGGAAAGACATTTCTAAAAGTTTTACTTTAAATATATATATGGGTGGTAAAAAAAAAAAAGAGTAGTTTCCTTAAAGAAAATAGTATTTTTGTCTCCCCCAAATAGTAATTCTGGAAAGTTAAAAAAAAAAAATCATTAGCAAGGGAACCTTAACTGGAGTTGTACTAAATGGAACCTATGTTAAAGAGCATGCTGCAAGTATTAGATGTGTTGGAAGTAAGCCATACTTACATTGTTTTTATTGATGTATGTCACTGTCACTTCTTCATATTGTAGACCTGTAATGGCCAAATACTACAGTGAAGTTCCAAGTCTGCAACAGGATGATTCAGTTATAGAAGGAGTAAGTGATCAAGTGCTTGTGGCAGTGGTGGTCAGTTTTGCTTTGATTGCTACTCTCCTATATGCACTTTTCAGGTGAGACTAAAGGATAAATGATTTGAGGTACTACTCGGTAGCTCTCATTCTTCCAAGTAATAGCTGGTTTTGGTGACTAAAGTATGTTTATTTTCCATTAAGCTGTGAATGCTGCCATGTTTTTTTCCTGACTTACCTGGGAATATTAAATTCATAGTTTCCATTTTGATTAAATATTAATATTTCCTATGAGTCTGGTTTAAAAAATTTTATGCTTGAATCTACCAGCTAGTCAGTAGTATGGATAATACATGCAAAATAATTAGATAGAAAACGTGAACCAAAAAAAAAAAACCTACCTCATTACTAACACCAGTGCTCTCCTGGTCTAATCCCATTCTTTTATATTAGCTGCCAACTTCTTGCTTCTGATTTCCCATTGTATTTGTTAAGAAGTTAGTGGTATATGCCTGTCTTAGTTTGCTTTCTGTTGCTGTGCTAAAGACCATTACTAAAAGCAAATTGCGCGGGAAGAGATGGTCTCTTTCTTCTTGGAGCTCTCAGGTCACATGTCATTACTGAGAGAAATAAGGGTAGGATCTTGGCAGGAACTGAAGCAGAGTCCATGGAGGAGTACTGTGTATTGACTTGATCCTCATGGCTTTCTTAGCTGGTTTTCTTATACCAACCAGGACCATCTGCCCAGGGTTGGCTCAACCTCCAGTGAGTTGAACATCAATCATTTTATTTTCTCTGTTAAGATTCTCTCTTCCCAGATATATCTAGGTTTGTGTCAAGTTGACAAAACCAACCAGCACAGTTAGTTTTGGCATTTTTGCATTATATAATTTTAATTTCTGCTGTCTTCCCTTCTCCTTAAACATGAAAAATTAAGAGAAAGACCTAGTTAGATGTGGAAAAGTGTTCAGATGTATAATATGTAGAACTATCTAACTACTTATTTCAAAGGATCTTCACAAAAGAAATGTGTCAGTTGTTCTTTACATTATTAGGTTACAATAAATTCCCAAGATAATAGGCATCTGGATTTTATCATTTACTATTTAAACCTGAAATCAGCTGATGATCGTAGATTTGGGAGGAATCTTTAAGTCACAGAGTAACCTAGAATGCATAATCCTGGAATTGGAGTATAGTTGTATATCATTATGTTACACTTGTTACATTAAGTTACCAGTTCTTTTTCTAAGATTTTTTTAAGAAAAAATTATGTATTTATGTATATGAGTGCTCTATCTATATGTCTTCATGCCAGAAGAAGGTATCAGGTTCATTATAGATGGTTGTGAACCACCATGTGATTGTTGAGAATTGAACTCAGGGCCTCTGGAAGAGCAGCCAGTGCTCTTAACCACAACCATCTCTTCAGCCCTCATGTAGTTCTTTTTCTAAAATTAAAAGAAAAATATTTATTGGGCCAGGATGATGGGTCAGTGGGCAAATACATTTGCCATGCCTGATGACTTGAGTTCAGTTCCAGAACTTACATGGTAAAAGAGAAGTAACTCCTGTAAGTTATACTCTAGTCTTCACATGTGTGCCATAGCACACACCCATACACATAGACATGCATGTACACCTCACACAAAACAAATGAGTTTTAAAATGGTTAATTATTATTTATGGGGTTGGGGGATGCTTGCTATGGTGTGCATGTCAGAGAACAACTCTGTAGAGTTAGTTCTCTGCTTTCACCTTGACATGGGTTCTGGAGCTTGTTAGGTCTGCACAGCAAGTGCCTGTATCCACTTGTGGTCAAAAATTAATACTAACAACACAGATGGGTTAATCTGATAGTTTTTTCAGAATTTACTGCATTCTGTCCAACAGAAATGTACAGCAGAACATTCATCCAGAAAACCAAGAACTAGTCAGGGTGCTTCGAGAACAACTTCAAACAGAACAGGTATGGTTATGTAGTATATGTATTTATGTAAGGGAATGTTATAACTTCCTTTTATATGTAGTGGTGGTGAGACATTAGAAAATAACTTTTGAGAAACATCAACTTTTTTGTTTGTTTTTTTGTTTTCGAGACAGGGTTTCTCTGTGTAGTTTTAGAGCCTATCCTGGCACTCCCTTTGTAGACCAGGCTGGCCTCCAACAGAGAGATCCACCTGCCTCTGCCTCCTGAGTTCTGGGATTAAGGGTGTGTACCACCACCGCCTGCTCTGAGAAACGTCAACTTCTTTACTCCTTATATTACATTAATTGTTCTTCAGATTATATATTTTTAGATTAAGCACGTTTTGTCCCCCCCACCACCCCCAATAGGGTTTCTCTGTATAGCTGAGCCTGTCCTGGAACTCACTCTGTTGACCAGGCTGGTCTAGAACTCACAGAGATCCACCTGCCTCTGCCTTCTGAGTGCTGAGACTAAAGGCATGTGCTACCACTGTCCAGCTAACATTTTCTTCTTTTGTGGGGGTTGGAGGAACATTAAGACAGTTTCATGTATTCCTGTCTGGCCTGGAACTTACTGGGTAGCTGAGGATGATCTTAAACTCCTAATCTTCCTGTGTCCACCTCTGTCTTAGTTACTTTTCTATTATAATGAGACCAAGGCAATTTATAAAAAAAAAAAAAAAAGCATCTAATTGGGGGCTTGCTTACTGTTTCAGAAGGTTAGTTCATTATACCATGGTGGAGAGCATGGTGGCAGGCAGGCAGACAGTCATAACTCTGGAGCAGTAGCTGAGAGCTTACATCTTCTCCATAAATTGGAGGCAGAGTTCCACCTATCACTGCCTCCCAAGTGCTGGGATTAAAGGCATGCACCACCACCTAATTTATTTAAGTTTGTATTTACTAAATTTGACTTTTTGTGATAATTATTTTATTTAAAAAATTTAATACCTATTTATTGTAGGTGTATGTATTTTATGTGCACCATGCGTGTGCCTGGTGCCATGGAATTCAAAAGGGGGTGTTAGATCCCCTGGAACTTGATTGTAGATGGTTGTGAGCCATCATGTGGGTTCTGGAACTGAACATACAAACTGTAAGAATAGTTCATGTCCTTAACTCCTGAGCTAGCTCTCCAGTCCCTCGATGAAGCTGTACATTTTGTATTAGTGCTAGATAGTTTTCCAGGTCCTTGGGAACTACAGGGACTCCAGTAAGTTGAGCTTTTGCCCTCATGACTCTTTTATTTCAAAATGGTATTTGATGTGTGTTTCTTGTACTAGTAATCTCAACACTGACGTTGATCACAACAGTGATACAATCAAGGAATATGCATTGGTGTATTTGATTGACTTTGGGTTTTTGAGGCAAGGTCTCATGTACTCCACGCCTGGAACTTGTTAGGTCACCAAGGGTAACTTGGACTCCTTGTCTTCCTTCCTTCCTCCTACTTACAAACATGTACACTGAAAAGCATATTAACATTTGCTAGCATGACTTTGTGAAGGACCAAGTTCAGGTTACCAATAGTGTTAACATTAGCAAATCTGGAAGTTTAATTCTGTTCTTGTACAAGGTAGAACAGATATGCAACACTTATCAGAGGACAGCTGTTAAAAGAAAAGGATGTAAGAATTGAAGCCAGACACATACCTGCAATCCTAGCATTTGAGGACCTGGGGTAGACTGCTGTAAATTCCAGGTCTGCCAAGGCTACATAGCAAGACCCTGGCTCAAACAACCCAAAAAAGTTTTTTAAAGAGTTAAAAATTTTTAAATGAATAATAGTTTGATATTTCTTTTTCCTCTTTTGATGGTATTGAGGATCAAACCCAGTGTCTCATGCATGCTGAGTTACACTGAAGTCTGGTATTTCTTTTTATTTTTTTAATTTCTTTTTATTTTTTTATTCTTCTTCATATATTACATCCCAGCTGTAGTTTCCCTCCCTCTTCTACCCCAGTCTTCCCCCAGATCTGTTTCCTACCCCATCTGTACCTCCCCTTGAGAAAAGCAGGCCTCCCAGGGACATCAACCAAATGGCATAATAAGCTACAGTAAGACCAGGCTGGAGGAGGCAACCCAGTAGGAGGAAAAGAGTCAGAGACAACCCCTTGCTCTCACTGTTAGACACCCAACAAGACCACCAAGACACTCAGCTATAACATACATGCAGAGGACATACATCAGACCTCTATAGGCTCCTTGGTCTTTTCGAGTCTCCATGAGTCCTGGCCAGTTGATTCTGTGTGCCATGTTTTCATGGTGATCCTGACCCCTCTGGTTCATCCTATTCTTCCTTCTCCTCCTCAGGACTCCCTGAGCTCTACCTAATGTTTGGCGGTGGGATTCTGTATCTGTTTCCTATCAGTTGCTGGATGAAGTCTCTCTAGTTTCTTGATGACAGTTCTGCTATGAAGCCTGGTGTTCCTTATTCTCTAGTTTATATATTAGCTTGTGGAACTCAAAATAATGTATGCATTGCAATAAAGTGAAAGACAAACTTTGAGTCAATCTGTATTTTGTTTTCAAATTGTGTTTAGGAAGGAAGGTAGAGACCAAGTAGCTTATATAAAACAATATATGTTTCTCAGCTTCTCAGTCTTGCAAGACCTTAAACTATTGTGCATGTGGAATTTCTGTTCTGAGAGGTGTGTCTGTGTCCTCTCACCAGGATGTCCCTGCGCCTGCTCGACAGCAGTTCTATACTGAAATGTACTGTCCAATCTGCTTACATCAGGCCTCCTTTCCTGTAGAAACAAACTGTGGACATCTTTTTTGTGGTAAGCAAACAATATCTTACTTGGTTAAAGTGACTAGCTCAATACCTATGCGTGTACATAGGCTGGATTGATAATTTTCTTTTTCTTATCTTCTGTTTCCTGAGAAAAGTAGATTGCTTCTGATGTCCTGCTCTAATGCCATCCAATTATTAGTATATTATTTAGATGGTAAGCATACTCAGGTATGAGGGTGTAGATCATTTGGTAGAGTGCCTCCTACCATGCACATGATCCTCAAGGACTGTATAAACCAGGCATGGTGGTGCATGCCTGAATCCTGGTACTCAATGGAGGAAGGAGGATCAGAAGTTCAAAGTCATCCTCAGCTAGAGAGCGTGGGTTACTCGAGACCCAGTCTCAAAAAAAGTATGTACCCATACATGTGTGATAGTGTACACACAGAGACAGTCAGTACCAAATCATAACTTATTTTCCATTTAGTGTGTTTGCATTTGTGGGTTCCAAGCAATGTGTTTCTTGGAAGAATAGTTCAAGTTTACTAGTAGCACTATGGGTCAGTTTTATTTGTTCAAATATTCAAACTTCTCATGGCAATATTGTATCTCAAGACCTAAGCCACAAACCTCTACTACCTGTTTTTACTCTTTCTGTGTGACCTTAAGGAGTTGGAAACAGAAAAGGGGAAACCTAAAATGCATGCCAGCATAAAGATGGAGCATTTTCACATTCAGCGTCAATGAGAGGTAACTTCTATCCCCCATTGGCTTTCCTGGATCCCAGAAAGACTTAATAGAGAGTATCAAGATATCATTGTTTCTTACTGTGTCCATACAAGATTGGGATGTGTCCACTGTGTACTGGATGTGTAACACACTTAATCTCATCCAACCCCACAAATCAGAAACTGAGGCTCAGGGAAGGCAAGAAGTTTTTTAATGGGTAACCCAGCTGTCAAACAACCCAGATCTGTCTTTAAGCTCTGTGTTTAGTTCTGCTTTGATTACAGGAAGATGAACACTCTAAGAACTGCTCTTAAGTTAGATATGTCCAGTCATTAGGCCTATTCTTCAGTAATAGTATTTCTTTCTATTAGTCACAAGTTGAATAACAGTGTTTTTCTTTTTTTGTTTTACTCTTTGCACCTATAGATACTACATAAAAATGGCTAATGAGTAGAATATTAGAAGCAGTCTACCCATTAATATATACAATTAAGATAGGTGTTAATTATTCCCAATAATCTTCTGAATTTTTAGTTAAAGACTAATTTAAAATATAGCATATCATGATCCTTCATTAGTGTCCTCCCTTTTGTGTCTTTTGTTTGACTTCATAATAGAATTCTTACAGTTTTACTATTAATATTACTGTGTTTGTTAGAAATATTTGAAATCCCTACCTTGCAGTTCAGAGTTTTCCATGCATTGTGATTATTATACTTAATCTAGTTCTGTGTTCCTTCAACCATTAATTTCATACTCCTCAAGATTTGCTCTTAAATACTGCCCTGGCTGGCCTAGAACTTGCTATGTGGCTGGACTTGCTTCAAACCCAGAGATTCAACTTCCTCTACCTTCCAAATGCTGAGACTAAAAGCATGTGCCGTCAGATTGGTTTGGATTTTTTTAAGACAATATATTGCTTTGTACACCAGCCAGACACTGAGCTAACTGGCAATTCTCCTACCTCATTCTCTAAAATGTTGGGATACAGGTGTGCACCACCATGCCCAACTTCACTAAAGTTTTTAGCTCAAGTCCCTAACATATGATAGAACACTGGATTTTCTGTGGAATTTATTATTCACCTTTGCCAAGGGAAGACAGTTCTCCCAGGAACATTGCTCAGCCCTTCTCTGAGCTCTACTTATGATCTTCGGCTTTTCTTTGTTTTGGTTTAAGACTTTCTGTGTGCATCAGTTCAGGTGCCATGGTGTATGTAGAGACGTTAAAGGACAAATCCAGGTAAAATAGGGTTTCTGCATATGCTAAGCTAGCTGGCCTACAAGCTTCTGCATCTTCTGTCTCCACATCCCATCTCTAGAGCACCAAGATTACAGACATGTACCATTGCATCCAGCCGTACCTGGGTTCTAGGGATCTGAACTCAGGTCCTCAAGCTTGGATAGCAAGCACTTTGTTCACTGAGGTATCTGCCCAGCCATGTTTCAATCTTTTAATTGTCTTTTGGAAATGCTGAAGATTAGCAGGATAATAAGGATCGATGGAGGAAGGAAGCTAATGGCCGTCAGGAGAGAGAGACATCTTGCTGCTCTCAGGCCTGTGGTAGGCATTCCTGATCCATCTGACCTGCCTTCTGAATCTAGACAGGACCTTGATCATCCTCCCCGAAGGTGTTAGCTATCTGGGAGGCTTGGCAGGCAAAATGAATTTATTTGCCAACTCAGGCATAGCTGATTTACTGAGTGGATAATCCTGTCAATTGAAGGATGGCTGTATTGTGTTCTTGCTTTTACCTCTGGGTCTGAGGTAATAGGATAGATTGCTTCTGATATCCTGCTCTAGTTGTTAGGTACGGTTTTTTTTTTGAGATGGGTCTCATGTATCCTTGATTGGCTTCAAATGTGCTATGTAGCCCAGGATGACCTTGAACTTGTGAACCACATTACCTCCCAGGTGCTGAGATTCAGGCATGCATTACCATGTCTAGTATATTTGCTGAGGAGGATTGATAATCCAAGCCTTGTGCATACTAAGCTACCACTCCAACAACTGAACCATGTTACACACATTTGTTTATTTAGTGAATTCAAAAGTAAAGATCTTGTTATGCAATTTCTCAAAAAAAATTATCTGGTCAGTAGTTTAAGTATAAATTCCTCATGTGTCAAGAACTCTTAGTTCAGTAAATTTTTTTATGTAGCATACCACCTTTGCTCCACTACAGTAAATTAGAATAACAGCAGCAGCAGAATCATCTTATTTGCATCTGTAATCTACAGTATTTAACTCTGTCAGGCCTGTGGAATTTTGTTCTCATTTTGCAATTAAATAAATTCAGAGAGATTGTGACCCAGATGAAACTTCAGTCATCTCTTAAACCAGATGATACCTAAGTATCTTTTTCTGTGGAGGGAGAAAATTGAATAAAAAAAAATCAAGTATCTAGTAGCAGATGACCTGAAGCATTTTGTCTACTGAGTCATAGTTTTTCAGGGAAGCCAAGTGGTGTTACATAATTGGCAAAATAAGAACACCCACACCCTAGTTTGAGGAAAAGATACTTGAGATTAAATGAGTGTAATGTCTATCAAAGTAGGCTGAATTTTGGGGTGAAAAGGTCAGATAAAGCTAAGACATGGTATCAGATGAAAATAGTATCACTAATAGATTGATTTCTGTTTTCTTTCTGTGCCTATATACATGTGTATATATGCACCTATATATATATATATATATATATATATATATATATATATATATTTGTGTGTGTACAGACACATGTGCAACCACACACACACACACACACACACACACATATATATATATATATATATATATATATATATATATATTTGTATGTGTACAGGTTCATGTATTTGTGTGGGCATGCATGCATTTTTGCATACACATTCTCACACACATATGTGTTGAGGTCAGAGTTGGTGCTGGTATTGTCAACAGTCTCAGTTTTTTGTTGTTGGTGGTAGTGAGTTTTTTGTTTGTTTGTTTGAGACAGGGTCTCTCTTTTAATGTAGCTCTGACAGTCTTGGAACTCACTGTGCAGACCAAGCTGGCCTCAAACTCAGAGAGATCCACCTGTCTCAGCTACCCTAGTGCTAAGATTAAAGGTATGTGCCACCACACCTGACTTATCTTAGTTTGGTCACCATCCTCCTGCCCACCCCCTACTTGGAGCTCAGTGATTGAGTTAGACTAGCTGAGCAACAAGCCCCGATGATCTACTCCTCATGCTAGAGTTACAAACACATGCCACTGTACCTGGCTTTTACATTGATGCTGCAGATCCAAACTCAGGTACTAATGCAGCTCCCTAACCTACTGGCCTTAGTTTTACATGGACTCTGGGGACAAGCACTTCAATAACTGAGCTATCTCTACAGCCCCAAGTTTTGCTTTCATACAGGTTTTGTGTGAAATTAGAATGCCCAAAGTATTTAATAAACTTTGTAATTAACACAGAACTCCATGAAGGTATAGGCATGAGATGATAGTTTAGCTTTTAAATTCATCTTGAAGTTGGTGAATTGGCTGTTCCCCAATTTGGTCATCGTCTGCTAATCCAAGTGGTTGCTAACCAGTATTCTCATAAACCATTCCTTTCTGCTTTAACTCTTGTTTATAAAGAATACAAGTGTCCTGTCACCTGTTTCCTACCTGGCTAAACCTTGGCTATCCTACAGAGTTCAGTTTCAGTGCTGTACTCAGGTTGCCATCTGTACATATCTACTCCTTTTTGTTTAACATTGCACAATTTTAGACTTACCTATCATCTAACTGGTTTGAGTACATCACTTTGTTTTCCACAGTTGAATTGCTATTGCCTTTCCTAAATTCTAGTCTACAGAGGTCAGAGTAAGGAACATGGACTGAGAATATAGCTTAGTAGAGTACTTGCCTAGCATACATGAAGCTGTTTGGCCCTTTAAAAGGATCAGACAGTAAAAATGTTCCTTTGTGTCACTGGAGTGAAGTTAAGTGTTTATCTACTGAGTGTACACTTTTGAAGTCTTCTTTCAGGCAGGGTTGCTATCTGTAGTTGTTTTGTTGTGCATGAATATCTGTGTGTGTGTGTGTTTGTGTGTGTGTTTGTGTGTGTGTGTGTGTGTGTGTGTGTGTGTGTGTTCATGTGTTCATGTGGGTGTGCATGTGTGTGGGGACTTAAAGAGGCATTGTCAACCTCAGGTGTTGGTCCTCCAGATAACTACTTTCTTTTCATTTGTGCGTGTGTGGGCAGTGTGCATGCATGTGGTGGTGTCTTCCTCAGTCACTCTCTACCTTATTTTTGAGATAGAGACTCTCACTCAACCTGGAGCTTGCTCATTTGACTAGACTGGCTGACCAGCAGGGTCCAGGAATGTTCATTTTGCCGCCTTTTCTGCTTTGGCATCACAGGCACAAACTGCAGAACCTGGATTTAAGCAATAACAAAAAATGAACATGAATAGTGGGATCAAAGTTCTCATACTTATCTACTCTGACTTTACATACTCAGCCAACTCCCCAGGCCTGACCTTTTCTCTTTTTTGAGAGGGGAGGTGGCCCTCTTACTGTTATGGAGCTTGCTAGGTAGGTTAGGCTGGTTGGCCAGTGAGCCCCAGGAGTCCGCCTGTTTCTGCCTTCCCAGTACTGGGATCCCATATGTGCCACAATGTCCAACTATTTTACATTGGTTCTTGGGAACTAACTGAGGTCCTCATGTTTGTACAGCAAAGACTTTACTGATTGAGCCATCTCCCCCATCCTCATGAATATCATCTAGTACAGTAAGTACTTCAAATATTAAACTAGGATACACATTTTATCAAGGAAGCCCAGTCTTTCAGTAATTTGGTTTTCAGTTTTTGGAGTGTCAGGGAGGAAAGGTCTCATGTAAGCTAGGCTGGTCTTGAACTTACTGTGTAGTTGAGGTTGATCTTAAACTCCTGACCCTCTCGCCTCAACCTCCTAAATGAAGGGATTATACATACTATGCCTCATTTAATTTGGCTTTCTAAACCCTTGTTGTTGAGACAGTGTTTTCTGGGTAGCCCACGGTAGTCTCTAACTTGAAATCCAGCTGTCTGTGCTTCCCAAGTGCTGGGATTATAGGTATGTGTCACCACACCTTGCTGGTTCAGTGAACTCCTAAAAAAAAGTATTTTTCAAATACATCAAATTTGGAACAAAAGTATCTGACAGTTTATCATATTCACCACCATGTTTATTTTACATAGGAAACCATTTTCTGTGAGGCCTCAGTAACTGAGGTGGTTAATATTTGCTTTTTATTGTATGAAAATGTCTGTTGTTTAATTAGTAATTGAAATAAAAATGTGTTTTAATGGCTGGAAATGATTGCAATTTTAATTTACCTGAAGATTTAATTTAGTTGGATGAAGTAAAAATTTTTTCAAGGAATATTTGATAAACAATGTAGATAAATAATGTAATAAAAGTGTTTTAAGGAAGGTAATGTTATTCAGTAGTTGAAACGTGACCAGCATATATGTAGTTTAAAGCTTCATTGCTGATATTTTCTTATTCCACTAGGTTCCTGCATAATTGCATACTGGAGATATGGGTCCTGGCTTGGTGCAATCAGTTGTCCAATCTGTAGACAAACGGTAGTGTTCTATATATATATATATATATATAAAGTATAACTTATGTTATTTCAGTTCGTAAATATTAGCAGGTTTTCTTGTTTTATTTTATGAGCCTGAATATATGTGTTTGCAGCCTGTGTGTGCAAGAGCCCACAGAAGTCAGAAGAAGGTATTGGATTCTTGCAAATTGAACTTATGAGTGACTATGGTAATAATTGGTGCTGAGAACTGAACCTAGGCATTTGCAAGAGCTAAGTGTTCTTAACCACTGAGCCATCTCTCCTGCCCAGTATTACCAGTTTTAAAATTTAAATTGAGCTACTTTTTCAGCCAAACTACATTTTTACTTACTGTGTCTGTGACTTCACTAATTTTTTTAAAAATACATTTAAAAAAATTTTAAGGCATCATAAAAAAGGAATTATACTTGAAATCCTACAGTTGTAGTGAAAAACAAGTGATAAATGAGTTTGTCTCAATTCCTAAGCCTTTGTTGTATGACCAGCAAAGGAATAAATGCACTAGATAATTACATGGCAACATGTTATCTCCTTCGTACTGTTCTCTTTTGGAAAAATATGTTCTTCCTTTTAAAAATATATAAATATTTAACTTGTGCCATTTTCTTTGAACTTTAATAATGAAACAACACAGGTGTTCTTAAAGTGTGTGTATCCTTTGTTGTAGCTGTCATTTTCTTGTTACTGTTAGAGCAGGAGAGCCAAATTTTCTTCTTGTTTCCTTTTTATTTCTGTAGTCCTGAACTCTATCTCATTCACTTTTTACTTTTTATTACACAATTAGAAGAAAAGATGATTTTCCCCTCTTTCCATTGTTTCTGTGGCTAATTTGACGTGGGACGCAGGTAGTCAATTTGCTATAAGAGAAAGACAAAGACACACACACACACACACACACACACACACACGAGGCCTGGCTTGAGCATATAAAACCCTAAAGCCTCCCTCAACACACCCTTCCTCCAGCAAAGGCCACGCCCCCAATCCCTGTCTTGTAGCACCACTCCCTAATGACCAGGCATTCAATCTATGTGCCTGTGGGGCCATTTCTATTCTAAGCACCACACACTATTCGGCCCCTCTTTTTTACTTACCCATGGCTTTCCTAGAGGCTGTGAATATTGTACTGAAAACTAGTTAGGGACTAATAAGGTGATGACGCTATCTTAGTCAGATAGCCATTGCTTCCATAACTGTAGTCATTCAACTGGAGGCAAGACAGTAGAAAGTGCTGGTCTACCTCCTGTTTCACTGGACAAAAGGCATGGAAATAAGGTGCAGGCTGCTGTCTCTGAAAAGAGCAGCACACTTCTCACTCTTCTGTATACATTGACTTATAAAGTACTCCTACCAGTATTTCAAGACTCTGATTCTTCAGGGTTACTAGGCATCCCAGGGAAAGTTGAATTTTGTTGTAATGCCACCTGCAATACCACAGACCAGCCTCCCTGTTTCTCTTAGAGATACTGAGGTCATTCATGGTGAGGCTGTGTCATTTTTTTTTCTTGTGTGCATAGCACTAATACAGTGCCTCCCTCACAATAGATTCTCAGTTACTGAAGGACTGTATTCATTCACTTGTTTGTTTTGAGACAGGCTCTCATTATGCAGCCCTGTCTGTCCTAGAACTCATTAGGTAAATCAGGATGGACTTGAACTCATAGAGATCCTCCTGCTTCTGCCTCCCTAGTGCTGGGATTTAAAGGCATGTGCCACCATTCCTGACAAGACTACATTTAAAAAATGAACAAACAAAAAAACAATTCACTTGTAAGAAGGAAAACACCATGAGGATTAAATCTCTAAAGAGTTGATTTTACTGTCCTGATACTTAAAGACTAATCTTGCTAGAGACTTAAAAATTATTGATTTGTCTCAGAGACTACATTTTTATTAACAAATCTATGAAGGAATGATGGCTGTGTCTACTGTTCATACCATTCAGTCACTCCTTCATTTAACTGTTTGGAAAATACCTTATCAGTGGTTTTCTTAACTGGAAGAAGGATAAAAATATCTAGACTGGTTCAAAACTAAACATGTTTTTTTAAAGATTTATTTATGTAATATGTATATGAGTGCTCCGTCTGAATGTACATCTGTCATGAAGTCAGAAGAGGGCATTGGATACCATTACAGATGGTTGTGAGCCACCATACAGTTGCTGGGAATTGAACTCAGGACCTTTGGAAGAGCACCATCTCTCCAGGCTAGTAAACCTGTTTTTAGGCCCTCATATTTTATCTTATATTTATCAATGCTTGATTATTCTTTACATGTTGTTATGTTCTTAGCTATACTTATTTTTCAAGGTCCCTGTATTGTCCTGAGGCAACTGTGTGCCATCTTTTCCATGGCCATGAAAGTAGCAAAACTAATCTTTGTTAGTAACAGTACCAAGACTTATATCTGCTTATTTCAGAAGGAATTGGTGATTCAGAGGGTCAGGCCAGTATTATAATTTCTGTATTGTGATAGCACGGAAAGATATGTTAGATGTGAGTAAAAATGAGTCATTCAGAAATGCTCAATATTTTCTCTGAAAGTGATAGTTTTATATTTTTAATGTTTTAAAAATATTTTTAACTTTGTTATTGAAGGTTTTCCTATCATCCTTTTATCTTCAAATATATGTTTTTTTTTTTCCAAAGAACTACGGGTTTTAGCCCTTGATATGTGCAGGAAAGTATTAGAGTAAGTGCTTAGATGTGGAACTTATTTTATCTTGGAGGAATTAAAAATTGTATTTTGTATTACATTTTACTGTAAGGCAATAGTTATTTACTTGTTCCCCCATGTTGCCTTTATTCAAAGGAATGAATGAAATACACATTCAGAAGCTTTTCTCATTCTCTTGAACACACAGTGAAAAAGTAATAATAATGGTGCAGAAGGTGTAACAGCTTTTTCCTGTAACACACAGGTAACTCTACTCCTAACAGTATTTGGTGAAGACGATCAGTCTCAGGATGTTGTAAGATTGCGTCAAGATGTTAATGATTATAACCGGAGATTCTCAGGGCAGCCTAGATCTGTAAGTAATGTTATAGCAGGTGCAAAGCCAGAGACAGCCTTTATACTTCTTTTTGTAAATCAGATTTACAACCAGCTCTTGGACTATCCGAAGTCTTACTATGTGTTTTGGACCAAGTTTTAACCCTCATTGCCAGTTACTTGAGTTATAGCTTTCCCAGGGGCCACAGTTTTCTTTTTACTTTTGAGACAGAGTCTCACTATGTAGCCCTATCTTGTCTGAAACCAGATAGATAGATAGATAGATAGATAGATAGATAGATAGATAGATAGATAGATAGATAGATAGCCTGGCCTTGAAATCACACAGGTCTACTTGCCTCTGCCTCCCAAGTACTGGGATTACAGGCATGTGCCACCATGCTCAGCTCCTTTCCTGTTTTTGACCGAGCATTAAAAAAAAAAAAAGCTTTATTTATGTATAGGTATGTGTGCTTACATATGTGTATGTGCACCACATGCATGTGGGTGTCTATGGAGACCTAAAGAGGGCATTAGTACCTCTGGAACTGGAATGGTGATTGTAAGCCACCCAGTGTGGGTGTTAGAAACCAAACCTAGGTCCTCTACAATAATAGCAAGTGCTCCTAACCTCTGAGCCATCTCTCTGATGTTATTTTATTTATTTATTTTACATATATCCTCTAGGGACATCTATGGAATGTGGTAGCCCTCTGCCCTGCATGAGTGTGTGTACATACCTTAATTTGTTTTTTAATACATAATACTTACCAAGGCCTGGTGGAGCAAACATGTAATCCCAGGTATTTGGGTGGCTGAGGCAGGAGGATCACAAATTGAAGGCGAGTCTTAGCAACTTGATGAGATGCTCTCTGAATTAAAAAAGTAAAAGGAGATCAAGGGATATATAGCTCAGGGTAGAACACTTGCCTACCAAGGCCCTAGGTTCAATCCCCAGTGTTATAAAAACTGTACATAGTCTGGATTTTTATTATTTATTATTACAAAGGTCTTTCTGTACAATATCTCTTTAGTTCTTATTAATTCATCTAGGTAATTAAAAACTCAATTATTGTTAAATTATCTCTAGCAGGTTAGAAAGTTGTAACCCAAGGTCACCTCATCTGATAATTTACTGATTTTGAATCCAACCCAGATATATCTTGATAGTAATCTGACACTGAACAAATCTCAGACTATAAGCCTGTATAATTTTTTTTTTTTTTTTTTTTTTTTGAGACAGGGTCTCATTCTGTAGTTTAGGCTGGCCTTGAGCTATTGTTGATCCTCCTGCCTTCCAGCCCCTGATGCTGGGAAACACGGGTGTAAGCTACTGTTCCTGGCCTGTAGTTTCTTGACTTATTTTGTTAAATCTGTTTATTGATAACTTGAGTTTTGATGAGTTTAGGCTTAGAACCACTTATCTGAAATACTTGAGACCATAGTTTTCAGATTTCAGAGTATTCATATGGATTTTACAAATAAAACCTCTCAAATCTGAAAGTCATACAGTCATAAATTTGACATATTCTGAAATCCAAAATATTTTTGCACTGGAGTTTTAGACTTTAGAGCCTTTTATGTTTCAGAATACTTCAAAATTATGTAGCATTTGAAGTTTCGGAGTTTCAGATAAGGTGTACTCAATCTACAGCCCACATTTTAAGCATTTCGATACTTTTATTACTTTTTAGTTATCTATAATAAACCTGTTTTACAAGAACCTACTAACTAAAGTATTTTTTAGATAAAATGCATAATTGGAAAGTATGGTATTAATTCATCTTAGCTGAATTTGAGCATTGTACAAAAGTTGTATTACTTTTAAATTTGATATATTAGATGTTAAATCGTAGTACTTGTTTTTCCTCCTTCAGATTTTGGAAAGAATCATGGATCTCCCCACCTTGCTGAGACATGCATTCAGGGAAGTGTTTTCAGTTGGGGGTCTCTTCTGGATGTTCCGAATTAGGATAATGCTTTGTTTAATGGGAGCTTTTTTCTATCTAATATCACCTCTAGACTTTGTACCTGAAGCCTTGTTTGGAATTCTGGGCTTTCTAGACGACTTCTTTGTTATCTTTTTGTTGCTTATCTACATCTCTATTATGTATCGAGAAGTGATAACCCAAAGACTGACTAGATGAAAAAATTAGTTTACTAGAATATCTGAGCTTATATATTCATGAAAGAAACAAACAAAAGGATCCCTGGCAGTATCAATCACCCAGATATTACTTTACAAGCTTAAAACATTTGGTTATTGTTTGACAAATGCCTAACAATATACAACTGGAATTTTTACATACTGCAGGTTCTAATGATAAGATCAGATTTATAGTGATCTACGGTTTTATCTCAATTCTGTGTTGTCTGTAAAAAAAAAATATGAAACCAATTGAAAAGGGATACATTGTTTTCTTCTCCAAATTATTTAGCTTAATTAGATACATAGTTGGATATTGCTAAATGTACAAATCATCATCCTAGCAGGTACCCATACAATAATAGAGAACTTTGAAACTTGTCTAAGTATTTTTGTTAAAGTCAAATACTGTATGATTGGGAAAAGCCAGTGTCTCTGTGTTAGCCAAGCTTTGTGAACTTGGAGCAGCTCTGCTTTTTCATTTTTGTCCAATTCTTTGTGATAACTGAAAAGGAAAGAAACTTGAACTTCATGATTTGACTACATTATCAGGCTATGGAACACTTTAATCAATAGGAGAATTAACAAAGTGAAAAACATGCATCTCCTGGAGGCACTTTTGACATTCAGTTGTGACATTTAGCCATGAGTTTGGCCTTTTTTATAGGAACAAATATTAAAGTAACTTGTAGCCAGTTGTGGTGGCTTTATACTTGTAATTTCTGAATTCAGGAAGCTGAGGTGGGAGATTGCCATAAGTTCAAGGTCTGCCTAGGCTATGTAATGAGTTCTAGGTCAGCTTGAGCTTCAGAGTGAGGTCCTGCTCAAACCAAAAGCAGGGGAGTGGGTGAAAGTGCTTGCTGCCAACCCTTATAATCCAGGTTTGAACCTGGTTCTCACATAGTGGAAGGAGAGAACAGATTCTGCAAGTTGTCCTCTGACCTCCACATGTGCATGGTGGCCCATGTGTGCACAGGCTTGTGTGCACACACACACACACACACACACACACACACACACACACACACACACGCACGCAGTAAATAAGATGCAATTAAAAAGAAAACATAAAAACATCTGTAAAGGGATTTTTTTTTTGTTTTGTTTTAGGAACCTAAGTAATATTGAAAGTACATAGCTTGATACATTTTTTGAGGAAACAGGATCTTCACTTCTATTGTTATTAGTCAGGGCCTTTGGGAAGGTACTAAGAACATTGTTTAGATTTTACAAAGTCAGAGTTTACAAAAGTTAATTCTTGTAGCAAAATGAAGACATTTGATTAGTTGTCTGTTTCCCTGAAGATGTAAGTGCTATATTGTAGGTGGCAGTTTTTGGCTCAAATTCATCATGTTTTGGGCAGAATGAGGAAATGTGTATGAGATAACTATATGATGAGGCTCACCTGTATTTTGATGGTCCTGACACAAGAGTGTAAGGACTGTGGTTCTCTGTCTGAGTACCATAGCATGAGGTCCTCACTCTAGCTGCTTACTGGTGAGCAGCTAGACAGGCGTGTGCAAGGTGATGCCCAGGGATCCTTTGTCATCTGAAATTACCATTGATGTCTTAGCATCAGCATGTGTATTTAGAGACAGGAAATAAAGCTCAAATCTGTCACATTCCCACATTAATCAGATTAGCTGCCAAATAATGAGATTCTGAATGAAATGTCAATTTATGTTTCCTAATTTAGACTTAACAGAGAGCTGTTGTCTCCCATTAAAAACAAAATACCAAAAATAGCACTTGGATAACATGATCAACACAGTTTCTCATAAATTTTCCTCTTATCCTTAGGGAATTTTGTAAGCAAGGTAGGGTGTTGTCAGCTTCCTGTTTCAGAGATGAAACCTTCATCCTGTGGATGGAAAATTGTTTTATTTCCTAACATAATGGAACTAGTGTAATTTAGGTAGACATGAAAGCTAGTGTGAGGAGAAGCAGGAGGGAAACTGGAATTCTTTGGAAGTCAGGTTTTCATAATACATTATTCCTTCACTGGAACAGTTTTGGTGCTTCTGAGCAGAAAACTCTAGAAGGAAGATTCATCAAAGGCTTCACCAATCTTGAGTGTATACTTCCAAGTCAAATAAGAGTGGCACACACCATAGAAAAACATGGCCGCTCGTCACTAACGTGGAAAGCTGTTGAGTAGCAGGAGCTTGTTATCAGACTGGAAAAAAAATTTCGACCTTTTAAAAATTCAATGTGTGATTTTCTGAAATGATTTTATGTGCTGGTGTTCTACTCCAGATGTCAGTTCTGTAATATTTGGGGTTATTACTAATACCTGGGAAGAGGTGTATTGTACAAAAGTTTGTAACATACAGAACCACTGTGTGATTGAAGTCTTACTAAACCAAAAGGGAACATACTGATATCTCAGAATCTTACACCTCGTATTCCCTCATCTTTACTGATCATCAATGATAAATGCAAAATCAATTTGAGAAAGTATTCAATCAAGTACAGTCAATCAGTGTTTTAAATGTCACAGTAATACTTCTGTATTCAGAGGTCATGTAAAGCAACAATTTGATGTTTTTTAAACAACACATAGTAACTGTCACGAAAGAGATGGTGCAAGCCCAGGAACAGACAACAATTTGAGCAGCTCTCCAAGGAATGAGAAGGGAAAACTTAGGTTAACAGCTTACTAGAGTAGGGGTTCAGCACCTCCCATCCTCAGTATTCTAGAGGACAGCAGACTGCTCCCGAGCCCCATGGCTGTGCAGATGCCTACCTCAGTTCATGCAGAAGACCAGGGGTTTCTTTCAAATTTTGTGATTTGGAGAGTTTGTTCAGCATTTATTCTTTGGAATAAAAATATTATACCTAAAAATTTTTCAGGGTTATGTTTCTCTTCTTTTGTTTACTTTAAAATTTACAACTCTTGAAAGACCACTGACATAACAGTCACAGTAGCTCCCTCCACACACAGGGTTTCTCTGTGTAGTTTTGGAGCCTATCTTGGCACTCGCTCTGGAGACCAGGCTGGCCTCGAACTCACAGAGATCCGCCTGCCTCTGCCTCCCAAGTTCTGGGATTAAAGGCATGCGCCACCAACGCCCGGCCACAGCTTTTAAATCATTTTGCATATTAATATTTTACTCATTACTATATTCCATACATTGTACACATTTGTTTTTGTGTATATTCATTCCTTTATAGATCTATGTCTAATATAATATCCACTTTATTATAATTTATTTACTCACTGTTAAGTTTGGCTACACATTTTTTGATTTATGCTTCAGCTCAACTCAGTATTTATAATGAACTACAGTAGGGTAGTTCTTGTTTTCATAGGGTAGAATGTGATGTTTTAACACATTTGTACATGATTAACTTAGGATATGAACATTGTCCATCAAATGAATCCAGAAAGTATAGACCTACTGTGAGCACAGAAGAGACCTGAGGCTGAAGAGATGGATCAGTGGTTAACAACACTGGCTGCTCTTCTAGAGGTCCCAGGTTCCACATGTTAACTCCAGCCCCAGGTATATGGCCTGTGTGGGTACACAGACATACATGCAGGGTAAACACCTATACACACAAAAATAATAAAAAGAATTAACAAATAAATTTTAAAAAAGTACAAGGGGCCACCTAGAGAAAAAAAGGGGTATATTATAAGTTAGAATCTTTTTTTGTTTTTGTGTTTTGTTTTGTTTTGTTTTTGTTTTTCGAGACAGGGTTTCTCTGTCTTTGGAGCCTATGCTGGCACTCCCTTTGTAGACCAGGCTGGCTTTGAACTTACAAATATCAGCCTGCCTCTGCCTCCCGAATGCTGGGACTAAAGGCGTGCACCACCAACACCTGACATAAGTTAGAATCTTGTAACGCTTGCTAGACAACAGTAGTATATATCTTTTCCTTCCAACATATAGCTCCATAGGCATCAATACATTTTTTTATTTTTTATTTTTCAAGCACATTTTTTCCTTGAGTGAAAAAAAAAAAAAGATTATCTGAAACATCATGAGACAAGTCTCTCTGTCTCAAAACTAGGATAGCTTTGAGCTCACATGCCTCTGCCTCCTATTCCAAGAGCTGGTATTAAAAGCATATACCACCACACCTAGTTTGAAACATCTCTTTTTGATAAAACACTCAAAATCTTTTCCTGATATTTGGTAAAACATGATTTTTTCCTTGTTACCCCCAGTCTCTAGCATCTAGTAACCACTTTATAGTGGTTTTCTTTATCATTAAGTAGTCATCCAATAGCATATAACATTTCAAATTAATTTTGTTGGGGTATTTTAGTTTTTGTTTGGTTTCTTTAAACATGTGTTTGTTGGGGCATGTGTGTGGAGATCATAGGACAATTTGGGAGAGTTAATTCTCCCCTTCTCCAGGGGAGTCCCAGGTGTCAAACTCAAGTTGTCAAGCTTGGCAGCAAGCACTCTTAGCCTTCTAAGCCATTTTACAGGCTCTTTGTTTTGAGACAGTCTCACGTACATCGGCTGGTCCTAAACTCCTATGTGAACAAGGATAACCTTAAATACCCTCTCTTCCTGCCATTACTGTGTGAGTGCTGAGATTACAAGTATGTACACCATGCCTAGTTTATAGTTTGCTGGGATTGAACTCAGGGCTTCCTGCATATTAGGTGGGAACGCTGACACCTAAGCTGTATCTCTAGACCATGTTTAGGTATTACATCTAGTGCTCCTAGAGGTCAGAGGACAACTTTCAGGAGTTGGTTCTGTTTTATTTCTGTGTTATTTTTATTATTTATTTGCTGGAGTTTTTTGCCTGGAGTGTTTTGCCTGCACACCCAGGGCACTAGGTCTCATTGTAGATGGTTGTGAACCACTGTGTGGTTGCTGGAAATTGAACTTGGGACCTCTAGAAGAACAGCCAGTGCTCTTTACCTCAGAGCCATCTCTCCAGCCTCATATATATGCCATCTTGCCAACTCTGTTTGGATTTTATTTTTCCTTTTTAAGGCAGAGTCTCCACCTTGGCTAGCTTTGATTTTATAGACAGAATTCCTGCCCCTGTCTCCTAAGTACTGGAATCAAAGGTGTGTGTACAACACCTGGCCTCTGTTTAGGTATTCTTAAATTTAAAAACAACCTCTTTTTTGTTTAAGAAAACAAATTATTTTGGCAGTCTGTTAACGCTGGATACAAATGGTTGAAGTTACCCTCACTATGGAGCCCTTTTAGCTTAAGTAAACCAGGCTGGTCTCAAACTTGTGGTGACCTTTCTGGGATTGCAGAGTGAATTGTTGTGTCCAGTTCTTCAGAATTGGCCTTGGCTGACCACTCAGTCCTCAGGCTAACATACCTTGCATGATTTTTTACCTACCCAATTTCAGTTTGTCTTTCTATTCAGAAAGTCTCTCCTCTTTTCTGGCTAACTCAACCTTGAGAACAGTTTAATCTTCAAAATGAAGACTTTAAAGACAACTGTTGATGCCTATGTATCATCAGACATAATACAAGATCCTGTGTATAACTTACCCACTTTCATCCAGTGGTAGCATCTAAAACTACAGTACAGTAAGTGATATTAACCAACCAGTATTAGAACCAAGATGTTGATTCTGGTGTAGTCAAGACTTCTATAAGAGTTTTATCACAAGGATTCTTCATACCCCTTTACACGCACACTCCCTTCACACGCACACTCTCCCCACCCCATAACCTTCTTTTGTTTTCTTTATATTTTTGGAGACGGGCTGAGTAGCCCTGGCTGTCCTGGAACTCACTTTTGTAGATCAGGCTGGCCTCAAATAAGATCTGCCTCCGAAGTGCTGGGATTAAAGGCATGAGCCACCACCACCTAGCCCCATAACCTTAACTGCAGGAAACTACTAATATGCTCTCCTTACTATAATTTTGTCATTTTCAAGAATAGTAATTGGTCTAGTGGTGCACACATTTAATCCTATCATTCAGGAGGCAGAGGCAGGAGGATTTCTGAGTTCAAGGCCAGCCTGGTCTACATAGTGTGTTCTGAGACAGCCAGAGGTATAGTCCGGGAGTGGGAGACAACTGTAACAAAAATATAGAATTTGCAACCTTTTGAGTATTTTGGGCTTGCTTTTTCTTTTACTCGCATCATGTTTTGAGGAATTATCTAGGTTGTATGGGTACCAACAGTTCATTCTTTTATTAGTAGTAATGGTTACTTAACCATTAGTTCACTAAAGTAATCTGGATTGTTTAGGCTAAGTGGCAAGTTCCCTTAACTTGATAAGCCATCTTGCTGGCTCCAACAGATGTTTTAAGGTCACTAACATCTAATAATTTGGATGTTAATTGGCTTGTTTATTGTGCTTGGAATCAAATCCAAGGCCTTGTCTGTATTAGGTAAGCATTGAACCAACCCATTTAGTTTACTTTGCTTGAGACAGAGTCTTACTATGTATCCTTAGCTGGCCTGAAACTCGATGTGTGTACCAGACAGGTCTCAAATTCAGAGATCTGCCCACTTTTCTTTGCCTTCTGAGTGCCAGGATTAAAGGCACAAGTCACCACATCTGGCAACATTCTTAAAGTTACTCTAAACAAATATATAAAGAAAAAAGGTAAGTGTAGATTTAAACAAGTTTGTACTTTGTTATTTATTGCCTGGCTTTCTTTTGCGTATTTAAATGTATATTGGATAACACATTTTGATTTTGCATCTCCATGTCTGCAGTAACATCCTTTGCCCTACCCCAGTTCCAATGTACAGTGAATGTACTCTATACCTCTCCATTTTGTTAAACTATAGTCCACAAACCTGGGACTGAGCTGTGGAGAAGCAAGAGGTACTAAGGCTCTTAGACCAGTGGGTCAAGGCCCCTGGGTGTTAACTCTTCCACAGGTCACCTAAGACCATCAGAAATCATAAATATTTATATTAAAATTCATAACAGTAGCAAAATTACAAAATAACTTTTTGGTTGTGGGTCACAACATGAGGAACTGTATTAAAAGGTCGAAGCATTAGGAAGGTTGAGAACCACTGTTATTACACACTAAGACTTTAAGAAATCTTCAGTGTCAAGCCAATAAGCTTTGAGGCCTGCCAGCAGGGACCTAACCCATTTCATGGCATTAATATTGGCTGTAAGCATTCAATCTTTGACCTTAAGCAAACTTGGGTCTTACCAGCCACTGTCTGCATATATCCCATATCCCAAAATGAAAGTGGGTGCACCATGAGGAATCATGCCATCTAGTTGAGATTTGGTGGTACATGCTTATAATCCCACCACTCTGGAGGTTGGGCTATAAGAGTGAGCACCTTGCCTCAAAATACAAACTACTTATTATTCCAAGTTCCTTATAGTGCAGGCTTTGAGACTATTGGGACTATTGTCTTTTTTTCCTTTTTGAGAAAGTTTAGTCTTTCTGTCCTCAATCATACCATGTGGCATTGGATTGCTTGCCTCCAGTACTTAAGAGGTGGGATTTCAGGTCTGTATTATCATGTTTGGTTTTCTCAAAGTTGTCTTTTAGAGGATATATACCATGATGTAAAGGATTAAGGGACAGGAAAAAAAATGTGTCTATCCTGTTGCACTTGGGATCAGAGAACAAATTACAGCAGTCATTGTCTTCTGTCCTCTAGTATGGGATCTGGAGAATGAAGTAAGGTCATTAGGCTAGGTGGCAAGTGTCTTAACTTACTGGCTCCATCAGATGTCTTAAGGTCACTGACACCTAATAATTTGGATGTTAATTAGCTTATTTATTATGCTTGCAATCAAACCTAGGGCCTTGTTTATACTAGGCAAGCATTGGACTACATCCCCAACCCAAGTAGTTTAAAAAAACAATTTAAAGGAAAAAATAGCTAATATGCAGAAAAATAGAAACCTTTGGCAGCTGCACCCCAGAAAGAATAGGGCTTATGCAAAGCTACACACATGTGGCCTTCTTATAAAATACTAACACTATAAACTGTCCGTTAAGATATCTCATCAGTGGCCAGTATAAAATGCCTGCCTTACCTTTTTCCTTTTCCTTATTTTTAGTGGTATAGTGTTGGAGATCAAGGCCAAGGCCTGTGCAGTTAGGCAAGTACTCTACCTTGGAGCCTAGGCCGACATCTGGCATGTAACGACTTTTGTTTATGTGGTTTGGAATGCAAGCCAGGGTCATTTGTTAGGCAAAATGGCCATTAAAACCAAAGTGGCTATGGTCAGTCATGCTGGATCCTTAAAATATAGCATTATACGTGTGTGTGTGTGTGTGTGTGTGTGTGTGTGTGTGTGTGTGTGTGTGTAAAGTGAGCACTAATTTTCTGGGGATTCAAAACCTATTTGTTAAAGCTCCCCCCACCCCCTTAAATTTAGTACCACAGCTTTCCCACACACATTGAAAGTATGGTCTAGAAAGCCTGAATGCTATATCAAAAATAGAGACTAGAGAGATGGCTCAGTCATCAAGAGTGATTACTGCTCTTGTAGAGGATACAGGTTCCTATCATCTACAGTGGTTCCCAATGGTTTCACCCATTCCAAGTAGCTGATGCCGCTTTCTGGCCTCCTTAGGTTCCTGCATGCACATGTACACAAAAACTCATGCACGTGCACACACCCCCACCCACCCATAGGGTACTTTAGCACAAGTTAAAAATGCCAACATGTATGGATTCTGGTAATGGCCTGCTTATTGCTGTATCCTCACATGGGTCAGAGAGATCTCTCCTGTCTCTTTTCAAGGACCCTAATCTCATTCATTAGGACTCTCCCCATGGTCTTACCTTCTGTATCATCTCTACCTGCCACAGTAGAGGTTAGGCTTCAGTGTGGGGGCCTGGGGGAAGCACAGTTCATAGCAGTTTTGTAGAAATACAGACGGCTGTTTTCCTCTTGTAAATAACTGTAGATATCATTGTATGTCTACAATAACTGACATAACATGCTTTATTAAAGTATATTTCAAGTGCAGTGTTTTATGTATTCTTATTCTTCCAGCATTTTTTGTTTTGTTTTGTTTTGTTTAGACAAGGTTTCTCTGTGTAGCCCTGGCTGTGCTCTGTAGACCAGGCTGGCCTCAAACTCAAAAGAGATTTCATCTGCCTCTGCCTTCTCAGTGCTGGGATTAAAGGTGTGTTCCACCATTGTCTGGCATAATTTCATACATGTGTCTCACTATGTAGCCTGGCCTCAACCTCACAGTCCCTTTGTAGGGATGCTAGACCACGACTACCATGGATTAAAAATTAGTAATGTCGGGAATTGGCTTTTCATTTTTCCTTAAATGGTATTCTATCAGTAAATGAAGTTCTTGGCCTCTCAAGATGTTACAGTTAGAATTAGCACTCTTGTTCCTATTTATTCTCTTTCCCTTAAATGGCCAGATATTACAGCCAAGGTTTAACCTTTGATATTTATTAAAAACTCAATGACATGACCAAGTGAGTATATATTGTTCCTTTAAGAGCAGGCTTGCACTTTTTGTATAGCCCATATATTTTTATTGTTTGTTTTTTTCGAGACAGGGTTTCTCTGTAGCCTTGGAGCCTGAATTCACTTTGTAGACCAGGGATTAAAGGCTTGCATCCCCCCTCCATTTATAGCCCTTATTTATTAAACCCTTTAACTGTCAGGAGTTGGTGGTACAGGCCTTTAATCCCAGCACCCAGGAGGCAGAGGCAGGAGGATCTCTGTGAGGTCAGGGCCAGCCTGGTCTACAGAGCGAATTCAGGACAGGTGCCAAGGCTTCAGAGAAACCCTGTCTCAAAAAAACAAACAAACAAAAAAACCAAACAACACACACACAAACTAAATAAATTCTTTCACTAAATATAACAAACACCAACAATTGTATAAACTATGTTATCACTGGGGGCTTGGTCTGGGCTCACCTCAGCTCCCTATCCCTTTCATCTTTGCTTCCCCTCCCCCCAGAAAAGAAAACTGAGATGAGACACACAGAGTAGAAGATTAAAAGATTGGTGCTTTATTGCAGAGTACTTTTTACAGAATAGTGCAGTTTCAAGAGGTTAAGAGTGCACAGTGGCCAAAGGGACCATTGCACTGGTCTATAGTTCAGATAATATTTATTCAATTTCTAAACCAAAAGGTTTCAGAGGTCTTTGTCTTGTGTAGGCAGTTGACAGGCCTGCTGGTGTGACTCTTACATGACAGTAGGGATACAGCTTCATTCTTCATTAGAAAGCTAAGTACTATACAGTCATTAAGATTTAAGGCTCCTGGAGCCAGGTTGACTTAATGACATTACTAACCTACAGGCAGACCAGCATGTCATACCAGCTCTCAGGGCTAGAGACAAGACTTGAGTCCCATTCTTCTGGCCAGTAATTGATCTTGCAGGTCCAGTCTTTTTGTTATTAAGGGGAGTGTCCAGCTCGTTTTATCAGGCCTATTAGTAGCTAGCCATACAGCACCATCAATGAGTTACAAACTGGCCACCACCCTGTTAATTGCATCTTTCCTCTGAAATAACCACTCCTGACTATAGTTTCATTTACCCATTTCTGAAACATAAGGTTAGCACTACCAACTGAGCTACATGGCCAGCCTATAGCTTCATTATTTTGATTGCTACTGATTGTGGACTATGCCACATTTATTCATTGAACTGTTGATGGACATTTGTTTTATTTTCACCAACCTTTTCAGAATGATGGGACCTGGATGTGATGGTGCAGGTCTTTAACTGGGAGGCACTGGTGGATCATTTTTGAATTCAAGGCTAGCCTGATCTATATGACAAGTTCCAGATCATCCGGTTAGAATGTCATCTTTTTTTCTTAAAGGATTTATTTGTTATGTATATAATGTTCTGTCTGCATGTATGACTACATGCCAGAAGAGAGCACCGGTTCTCATTATAGATGGCTGTGAACCACCATGTGGTTGCTGGGAATTTGAACTCAGGACCTCTGGAAAAGCAGCCAATGCTCTTAACCTCTGAGCCATCTCATTACAGCAGCTCGCAATTTTCAGCACAGCGCCGGACACGGCACGACGGTAACAACATTCTTAAGTGCTTCTGCCTCTGAGAAGGAATGCACGTTTGTCCTTGTTCTCCATCAGAAGACGACCACCTGGAATCTGGGTTTGTGCAAATTACACCTCCGAAGCCGCCCCCCCCTTTTTAAAAAAAAAATTACGTGTTACTAGGAACTAGAGCTTTCCCACGTTTCCTTTAGGCTTCCGAATCCAACAGGCCATGTTTACCAAGCTGCAGCAGAAAGCGACGGGCAAATTAACCACAACGACCACTACAGCCCGGACTTCTCGAGTGTGGCTCCCAAACAAACGCCCTTTCTTCCGGCCCAAGCGCGGCGGACCCACCCACTTCCGCACTGGTGACCACGCCCCAGAGCCTCGCCTGGCCTCAGCCAATGGTCGGCTTCCTTGGGAACGTTACCTTCGGCTAATCAGAGACAACGAGCGAACTCCTCGCGAGAGGTGAGGTTGAAGCTGCCTCCGCCATCTTGAAGATGGGAGACGGGCGAAAGCTGTGGTCTTTCTGCTAAAGCAAACAACACAACGGACAGAGTTGTCACCCCCACAGTGAGGTAATCGCCACTGTGTAACTGCTGACCAAAGCCACCGAAAGCAG